AGGTGAGTTATAAATTGCATCACCGGGTACGAGGGGGCTATTCAGTTTCACTGCCTTTCTGGGCATCAACCGAACTCCCTCCCGGTCTACTCACGAAGATTCGCAGCCGAATGACCAGCAGATGGCCATTTTCTTCCAACGAAATGCATCTGTGCAATAAGCAAACCTAAATTTTTGCACTCTCACTTTTGCACTACTGCAGTTTCGAGACACAAGTTCAAGATATTTGTTAAAATGTGATTTTTTTTCGGAAATTATAAAAAACCCATTGTCATTTATCACTTTAATAATGAGATTCTTTATTTTATAATTAACTTTTTTGTCTATTTTAACTTATTCATTGTAAGGTAACTTTTATTATTGCTGATAATTTTCACTATTACTGATTCTTTTATTGTTTCCAATCTCATCCTTATTGTTTATCGTTTTTTTTTTGCTATTATTTTTTCTTATTATAATGAAGCGAGGAGAATGAGAAACGCCTAAAATAGAAAAAGAAAAGGCTGCCAGCTGCACCAATGGCGAGAAAAATCGCGATAAACAGTTGACATAAAATTATTATGAAACAACAGAGTGTTTCAAAACTGAAGAGCATTTTAAAGTGGTGCAAGTTCTTATCAAATCATTCTTTAGACTAGCCACTGGCCGCAAGACTGTGACGAGCAGAAGTGAAGCACAGTGCAACACTGGAAAGCTGTGTTTAAAAAAGTTTCTGATAAGCTTATCAATAGCTCCGAATTTTTGCTCCACTACATGCTTTTCTAACCGGTCCTCATCGCTACACAGTCTTTTTGTTATAGAAATGATAAGATGTAGGCTATCTGCAATCACCTAAGATTTATCAGAAGGAGCCCTTTCAAAGGCTTTTTTTTTTGTAACTAGAATTTTTTTCTGTAGAGAACACGACGACAAATGTTTTTCTTATAAACTGAATTTCTAGTAATAAGCGACTGATGATGATAATAAGGATGTCAAAATCGCCCGGACAATAATTTCCAGATCCAGTATTAGTTTTGTTATTTATCTGTAACGGCGCCCAGAAGCTTCGTGCTTCCAGTGGTACAACTTGTGTACAGAGCTGCAATTGCGTGCTTTTTTTCTGAAGTAAGGAAAAAAAACATTCTGGTGAACTTTCGAAGACTAATAATAAAAATATAAACACTATGCTTAAAAAAAAGCAGAGTTTTCTGAAACGTAAGAAGCGTCCAAACGGTGAGGCCTGTATCCAGAAAACAAAAAGAACTAGCTGTGTAATTATGATTTAGTAACTCAATTTACTCACCTTTCTCTAATTAAAAAAATTGAACACTAAATATTATGGCTGATACAGAAATAATTTTTAATAGCAAATTTAATAAATGAAAATTTCAATGAAAAATAATTTTGCTGCGAAAAAATGTCAAAAAGTGCTGCATTTCTTCCCGAATGTTCTAGAGGTATTCTTTTGCTAACTGCAAGTTTGCATTCTTCACTCGTAAGGCCAGAAGTATAAAGAATACGGATAGCTTCACTATAATGGCGCGATTTTGATAAATATTATAAAGGAAAAATCAAAATTACCGTTCCCGAATTTGTTTCGTTTCTGGTTTTTCCTGTCCACCGAATATCCAGAGCAAATCCCGGTAAGTTTTTGACAAAAGTATCTTCAGTGTCGTTTCGCCAAAATTCGTTCCTTGGTGAACCTCTTGTTGTTGTTGATCTTGTTGTTGTTGTTGTTGCTGTGCTTTCAAATCGAAGTATTTTTGCTCGCTATCATTTTGCAATTTAATGGGATCCAAAGCCAGCGAAACATCCATTGCATTTGTATGTTCGGCCAAATCCAGTTCTTTATTCGACATATAGAAATAGTTGTTTTTGTTGTTGTTACTCTTATTGTCGTTGTACTTATCGTCGTTGCTGTAGTTATCGCTGGCACCAGTTTGCTTGATCCACAAGATTCTGTCATTCGTTGTGTTCGATTTGGATTCCCGGGAACGATCAATACAGTAACCAGCTTCTCCTGGCAAGTTACGAATGTGTAGGCCAAGTGTCCCTTGTTAGTTGCTTAAAAAGCTAAGCGTGCTCAATTTATAACTGAAAATACAATCCAACTTCCACACATTCGCCAAATACAGTAAGCGGTATAATTATCATTCATATACTAACATCGTTATCAATACTATTAACATCGCAAAAACAGTTTACTTTGATAATTTCTATCCCACCAAAACAAAAATAAATCTTTCTCCATATAATGAGAGCGCACAGCTCCCAACACACCACGAAACGGGAAGAGAAATAGCGCGAGGGAAGCACCTCTTTGTTACTCAAAGGAGCGCCAAATTATAGGACTGAGATCAGGAAAAAGTAAAAGAGTTTTAGCCAGCAAAAGACAAGAAATATGACCGAAGGTGCTAAAATAACTTCCTAGATTCGAAACTGCGCTGAGAAAAAAAAACGCATTACAGCCACAAATCCCTGCCGTATTTGCCGCGTTCGGAAAGTACCCTGAGTGATAGCAAATACCAACAGCAAGCAATCGCTGGCAAGGTTGCCCATGAAATGGCTCTTTCTTTTGAGGCCAGTTAACCCCTGGAAATATGTCAGTGCCAATTTACCGTTGAAACGAAAGAACAAATCTTGGAGGGACTGGTTGCCAATTAGCGAAGCTAAAGCCTCAATCTGATGCACGACAATAGTGCCACTTCTCATTACGTGGACCTTATGCAGGACATATTATTCTCCAAGCAGTTTTGGAAAAAGCGAACTTTCAAAGTCTTTGAATTTTAAGGTTTTGAATGAGTTATTACTCAGCCGTTACGCATTTTCACAAGGAAAGCAGCGGAGTACCAACATGAAACTGGCGTGTTTGGTACAGTGGCAAGTAGCGTTACTGCCACTGTACAGTCGAGTCTCTCCACGATTCGTTTCGAGGTTAAATTGGTATTATTCATGCGTGCGAGACGTAACCACTGTTGCTTCTAAGCAGCCTTCGAAAGATAGAACCATTACAAGCCTCGGCAGCGTTTGCCTGCTGTTGGTAAATACCAACTGAAACGCTGCCATGTTTCTTGGCTTTCTGTGAAAAGTTAATAACTTAGTCGAAAGCGTACCGGCTGCCGGTACGAGGATGCGTTTTTAGCACAGTTTCCCTGCAGGTTTTTTCGCCAGTGACACGCTCTTCCCGGCAGATGCTCCTTGCTAAAAGAATTGTGACTGGCCACCATGACTGTTAGAAATTATTACAATGACTCCCAATCCATGCC